AGTGTGATTAGAATGGCTCTTCAGCACCTTAAAAACAGCAAGGTCCCAGGTGAGGATGGAATTACAGCGGAGCTTCTGAAAGCGGGTGGAACACCGGTACTTAAAGTCCTTCAAAAGCTCTTCAATTTTGTCCTCCATAGTGGCACTTCTCCGGAGGCGTGGAGCAGAAGTGCGGTGGTCTTGATATTCAAGAAAGGCGACAACGCTCTTTTGAAGAACTACAGACCGATTTGCCTTTTGAGCCGCGTCTACGTGCTGTTTTCAAGAGTCAGTATGAATCGTCTCCCACGCAGAATCGACGACTTTCAGCCTCCCGAACAAGCCGATTTCCGGAAAGGCTTCAGTACCATATACCACATACATACCCTACGGCAGATTGTACAGAAGACCGAAGAGTACAATCTGCCACTTTGCCTGGCGTATGTGAACTACGAGAAATCTTTTGATTCTGTCGAAATTTGGGCGGTGTCAAGTTCAATGTCGGTATATTAAAGTGCTAAAGTGTTTGTACAGTAGGGCTACGAGGGCTATCCGAGTACAAAATCAGTTCGGGAAATTACGACACATCTCATCAGGTATACCTCAAAACCTGAAAACTAGATTGTACGACCAGTGCGTGTTTCCAATAATGGCTTTCACTGCTGGCCATATGAGGACGCTCAAGGTCGTATAGCGAGCTATGGAGAGCTCTATATAGAAATGAGGATATCCGCAGCAGAACCAAAGTGACCGACATAACCCAACGGATTAGTAAACTGAAGTGGCAATGGGCCGGCCATATAGCTCGAAGAACTGACTACCGATGGGGAAAAAAGGTTCTCGAGTGGCACATTGCACTGGTAGGCGTAGTGTAAGGCGACCCCCCACTAGATGGAGTGACGACCTTGTAAGACATACAGGAACTCGATGACTACAGGTGGCTCGGGACCGTGCTTTGTGGCATTCCTTGTGTGGGCCCATGTTCAGCAGTGGCCTTGTGAAGGGTAATAATGAACTCATGTTCAACAGTGGACTTTTATTGACTGTAATGGATAGCTCTTTGCTTATTAATTAACAAGATTCTGAGAATGCATGCTACCCGTGCAGGCTGCTTAGAATAATTAAATTAATTCATAGTGCCAATGAAATAGGTTATTTTTTAACAAATTTACAAATAAACACAAAATTCATTCCAACCTTCTTTATTATTAATCATTCAGTTATCATAAAAGTGAATATTGTTATAGTAAATAGTAAAGTAGGCGAATTGTAAGTACTATTTACATACAGAGAGAAAGTGTGTCTAAGTATGTAGTCTAGTATGTAATATTAATAATAGTAAGAACACCTAATGTCGATTAAAAATTGTGAATCATGGTAGCGAACTAAAATAAATAATTCTTAACCTAATCTTACAACTTATTTTACTAAATACTTAGGTGATGTGTGTTTTCAAAAACATTATTTTTTATGAGGTGACAATTATGAATTTTTTTTAAAAACGACTTTAACGACACAACTACATAACAATTTACTATCTGTAACAAGAATTTCTGTTGATTTAAGTAGGTTTGAAATGGAGTTTTGGCGGTTTAAATAATTGTTTTATGTGACTTTTGATACGGTGACGCGATTTAGTGTAATATGTGTCTGCATGTTATGTAAACTATTAGTAGAAATGACGAAAAAAACACTCCGATTTTGATATAAAACTAAAGTTATTTTGCCCGATTGGGCGCCTTAAGAAAGACCTTTAGATAATGCCTTCATCAGCTGTTTGTTGTTTAAGATCTTTCGATCAAAATCTCCCAAAACTCCGCAACATGATGCACAACAATATATTATGGGGAAGCTTTTGGCTGTATTACTACTTATCAAAGAAAAAATGTGGATTTTATTTTTTAATAACCCTTCCAGTACACATCTAATAACCTTATTATTCTAAGGTAATAACAAATACGTATTAAATATTGTTATATTTATGATTGAAGTTTTCATGTGAAATACTGTTACATAATAATATTTTCTTCAGTTCGCTACCAGTGTTTCGTTACTGTATTCTAATGTTTTACGTACATAAGTATCTTTTGCAAATTATTGTACGACTGAATTGCAAGCCTACTGTAAAATAATAATTAAGAACGAAGATTTACACAATTTAAATTAATATCATGCATATTGATTTATCTTTCAAATTCTGAGCAACAGATAAACAATTGTTATTTCCATTTCCTATATTAAGTAACGATTTTTAGTTTATGGGCTAAATACTGTAGTAAAAGCAAATTTCTAACATATCTAGTAGAACAAAAGAACATAAACTAAGTATTTTTCTAGCAATGTTTCGATTAATTTCAATTTATAAGATAGATGTTACTGTGTTTTTACTTATTACTATTTCATTAAAGGCTTTAATATTAAAACGAATAAATACGTTCCATTACACTTTAAAATACGAGCACTATGTTTAACATCTACTTTTACCTAATATTTTAGATAAATAATGACTAGATGTCACATAATTTATCGTTACGTGATAGCTTCTAGGAGAAAGTGCAGCTCAAATTATTAATGAAATATTTAAAACGATTTTTAAACAATATTATTTATATTAAGACAAAAATAATAAGAAGTTTTAACTTTGATTAACGTTAAGGTCACACTTATCGTTAAATTTATGTATTGTATTTTACATTCCAATTAACAAATCATAAAATACGTCAACAATTCAGTTGAAATTCTTTTGACATATGAATTAAAGTAAGACTATAATAAATAATCATAATTATGACTAGAATAAAGAATCATAAATAATTACGTCATTATCCTTCAAAACTTTTACCTAACACTTTGTGAGTCAAACCACAAATCACGCCAAACCATCTGCTTAAATCTAGATGAAATACACAGCCCGCAACAATTGTCCTACTCTTATTTTTTTTTTCGCAATTATCAGTTTTATGTCTACATATTACGTCGTAAGACAAAATTGACTTCAAAACTACCGTTACACGTTCAAGTTCCGAGCACATATACAACACCAATGCCAACGATTAAGCTGCTAAGTAATGTTATAATAAAACATGAACATTACTGAAGTTGATACTCCTCAATTAATAGTATTAATTCCAAACGATCAAGCACTTATTATATAAATTAATAAGATCTTATAGTTTAACTACATTAATACGTAAGAATGAGTTCCTAAAAATATCCAAAAGTCCTCCAAAATATACGTCATCACGTTTTCGCCGATTTCGAGACAGATGTAACAAATTATATCACTTGTATAAGTAAAGAGAAACTTTGATTTGCGGCTGGACAAATTACAATATCAGTTGTGGAAATAAAAAAAAAAACTATATTATGGCTATATGGCTATCACCAAGCAAAATCAATTCGTTTTAAAAGTGCTTGCTGCGCCTCCGGACCGTGCCGGTTCAAATGTTAGGAAAAGTAACGCTGTTAATCAATGGCTGATGGGTTAGTGCGATGCATTTTATGAGTATTTGAAACTTTCTCATGAGTATAATGTCCGTTAGTTAAAATTAAATGCTTTTTATTACAATTTATAGAGTTGAATAACCTCAATGATGAAATTGTAGCTAATATTGATTCTAAAGAATGTGTCCATATGCGAATTTATCAGGATATATGTGTATTTAAATTAAATATAACTAAAACTTTTTTAAATTTAATTAGGCAGCCTTAATTAAATGGGAACACGAATAATCTAATACGTGGCTTGATCCTGAAAATGATTTTCAAAGCTATATATATTTTTGCATTGTACGAATGATAAACATTTATAGTTGTTTTTATGAGATTTTTTTACTTACATTTGTTAATATGTGTTCATCACTAATTCAATTAGAATAGATTTGTTTATTTTAACTAAATCCATATTTAATCTATTGACTATTGCCAAATCTTATATTCAGTTTTGTGATGTTTGATGATTGATGACAAATTTATTCTACATCCTTTTATAAGATATCAGATATTTTTTTAACTTTTTAATTTGTAGCAGTTCGAAATAACCTTTATACAAGATTAAATATTTCGGCTTTGAAGCCTGCTTCTATCTCTCGCTCGGATTTTTTTTCAATTGGATCAAGCTACGTTGAGCAAATGGCAGCATTTTTATTATCTTCACAATATTGTACTTAAGCAGATAGAGTAGCAAAAATAACATATAGATATTATTAAATTTGCTAACACGAAGTGTTTAGCGAGGACATCTCGACTACAGACCAATTCCAAGAAAAGTTTCGTATGTATTTTTTACATTATAATTGAAACCTTATTTACAATACAACCATTTACTTTGTCAAATTCTGGTTAATATTAAAAATTTTATTTTCTTAAAAGTCTTATGTTTCGATTATCAATATCCATTAAGAATGTTGTATAATTTCTACAATAATGACGTATTCTGGAATGCCTTTATTTATTAAGTACAAACACAGCCCGCATTTTGTAAGTCTTTGCAGTTGGCTTGTTAACATGTTTCTCAGCTCTTGTGAAAGGTCCAAAACTTGTACGCCTAACAGTACCATATTGTCGTCAGATTTAAATACATATTAAATACCATTAAATAGCCAAATATTCCTTACAATAAATATTGCCTCCGTTAACTTGGTATAAAATTTGCTTTTTAAGCGATATTTCGATTGTTAAATCGTGTTGCAAACTATCGCTCGAAGCGGAATATCGAAAGAAATCATTCATTGCCTTATCCTATCTGCCTCGCACTTTGTGTTGCATTACATACTTATAATATATTTTAATTAAAACAATAAATATTCGAAGCTCCACTGTAATATATATATAATATTCAAAATATAATTAACAATTTTATATCGATAACTTAAAAATATCTTAAACTAACATAGAGCAGGCGAGATTGGATACAATTTGAGCAAATTAAAGAAGCGAGATAGTGAAGTACCGATACATAGTAGCTTTTTGATTTTCGCTGCCTATGCAAACGTGAAATCCGGCGAGAGGATAACCGTCGATTAATCGCCCCCAAGAGACAATGCCTGAACAATGCGAGGATCTGCCTTACTCCCCTCGCGAAACTCTTCCAGAGTGAGACGATCGTCATGATTCTTATCCATTTGATCGAAGATTTTATCGACGCGCTTTTGTGGAGTGTTCTCATCCTCCGGCTGTGGCGTTTGCCCCTGTAATACATGTTTATTATGCATGTAATTTTGTATTGGACATGGCATAATATAGTATTAGGCATGCGATCATTAAATTGTCGCGAGAAAAGTCATGAAGGACAATAATAAAAAGTTATTTTTTAATTGTCATTAACTAATTTATGTTATGTACTCTACGCTGTAGAGAGTTATAGCAAGAATGAGTCGGTTCGATCGGCAATGTCCATGCCCTCACAAAATATTTAGTGGATACTGAGTGTAGAAAAACTGAGACACTTTTTACTGGAAATGAGGCATCTCACCTTAGTCTGTGGGGTAAGAAGGCTGGATTCTTATTTGAGGTTATATGTAGAAGGCTATGGGCCGCAGCGTACAATTACCATCAGGGGGACTGTGTGCTGGCTTGCTACCATTATTCTATATAAAATACAAAAAAGCAAGCAATAATGTGGATAACTGATAGTACAAATATAAATAAAATAGATTTGTAATTATTAAATAAGACATTTTTATTTATTTTATACTCGTATGTAGTGTTCGTCTGGCGATCTTTGTACTCGAAGCACATATAACATAAGATGCTTATTATTATCACCATATTCACCATTATCATCATTATAGCTCATCACAACTCGACTACTGAATGTAGGCGGCCCCTGAGAAATATCATAAATACAAATCTGAGCCACCTGCATCCATCGACTTCCTGCATCCCTTAGCAGGTCGTTAATGGGGGCCGCACTGCACCTCACCTACTAGTACGAGATGTATGTGTGTATGTACCTAACTATGTATGGGGAGGCCTATGTTCTGCAGTAATCTTTTTATAGATCGTACGGTATATAGTCAGCAGTAAAGGATTACGTCCCAGATCTATATGATATTCAATGACAACACGCATGAATTTGCATCCGTTGGGAGATACTATTGAGGTCATTGAATATAATGTAAGAATATAATGTTGAAATCCTCCAGCGATTCTACCGTAGTGCCTATATAGTATTTTATTATGATGTTGTGGATGAACCCTTGATGCCCTTAAAGTTGACATTTAATTAAAATTGGACGTTAAACTGATATTTGTTTAGTCATGTATTGTGACAGGGAGTATTGATTCGCCTGGATTCAGACGTCTGGAAGTGGTAGAAAACTGAATTATACAATTTTTTATATTTACGCGAACACAAGATCAATTAGAACCCGCGTAAAAGAACACATAGCTGACGTGAAGCATCAACGTTCCGGGAAGTCTGCAGTTTGCGATCATATTCCAGATAGCCCCAACCATTACATCAGATTTGATAGACCACAAATCCTCGCGAAAGAACATCGATTCCTACCAAGGATGATACGTGAGGCTATTGAAATTAAAAAACATCCTAATTTCAATAGAGAAGGAGGCTGGGTACTACCACCTGCTTGGGATACTATAATTAATAAAATTAAAACTAAACCCAAGCATACCACTGCAAGACTTCAAAATACAGTTAGTTCTTTCTGCGTAGATCGGACCAAAGACAATAATTAAAAAGCTTCAGGTACTCCGGGTTAACTTTGACATCGGGACGTCAGTCACCTCAGTCCCCCGTGACCATGGGTGCTGGAAAGCACCCGAAACGTCGGGTATTAAAATTAATATAAATAAAACGCGATAAAATCCGTAAAAGTAGTTTTAATCAATTATACAATTTTATTATATCTGTGTATAGAATACAGGTTAAACTAATATAAAACGTATAAAACCATTGGTATATTCAATTTTTAAATCCACGTGTTTAAAGCGGCACATGTCGTTTCGACTTACATACTTTTAGAGACGTCTTAAAATAGTTCAAAGAAATTGCAACTTACAAGTCTGCTACATTAATCAGGTGCTACTTTCGTGCCCCTTTAATTTTATGACATAAGATGTAATGTAATAATAATGTCATCGAGACCGAATTCGGTAATTCGGAATCATAGTGCCCAAGTGTATGCGCAAGCACAGGTGCACTCTCTATTCCCTCACACTCATAATCCGATGGGACGTTAAACCAATACGACCGGAGAGAGATCAGACGCAGGACCAACGGCTTTACGTGCTTTCCGAGGCACGGGGGTGAGACACCGCCAACTTCCTGACTCCGGGCAACTACTGAAAATTTCTTGACGGAAAAACTCAATAATTAATTTTTTGCCCCGACCCGGGATTCGAACCCAGGACCTTATGATCAGCAGTCGCACTTCCACAACCACTGGTCTAGTGAACGAGACAGTCATGTAATATATATATATATATATATATATGTTTAGTAGTAAACTTGTGAAGTGATTCAATTGTATGCGAAAGCACAGGTGCATTCTCAATTTCCTCACTTTTATAGTCAGAGATGTAATAAATATATAGTAGTATACATATATAGTATTATATAAGTAGACATAAGATGTAATAAATATACAACAAAAACATTTATAGCTTGTATAATTTGTTCTTATGCGAGTACAATGAGTACGTTTTCACCTTGTAGCCGACTTTTCATTAATTGATTAGCACAATCATTTTAAGTGTTGATTTACTACACAATTTTTATTAACCCTTGAAACGTCCGACAAACTGCAATGAAGTGGAATTTTTTATAGCATTGGGTGACAAACGAGCACACAGTCTACCTGACGGTAAGTGGATTCTGTAGCCCATAGAAATCCATATTTATCCTCAATTTAGAATCAAAATGCAGATGCGTTGTCACCGCGGAGCACTAAGATGGATTACCTGGATACTAGTAAAAAGGGTCTCTGGTGCTCTACACTCACTATACAAAAAACGGGAGCATTACGCTGCTATTCTGTGAGATCGTGGTCCTGCCTCGGTCGAGCGGACTCATTCGTGCTACAACTATAATATAGCTGCAGCACTACATACTATCTATCTGTCACTACATGCTATCTAAAAACTCTTTACGTTCTATTACCCTTCTACCCTCTATAATTTAAATGATAGGAAGCTAGTTAATGGTGTATTATTTTTACTTTAAAAAATGTATACGTACCACCATCTGGTAGATTGCGTCCACTATGTTATACATTTCGTCCCGTGTTATATAGCCGTCGTTGTCCACGTCGTAGAGACGAAAAGCCCCTGGAATACATATAAAGTTATATTACAAGTATAGTACTAATATCGCATATATTTTAAAAAGCGGTGAACACCTATTAATTTGTAAATTTATTTGCAAAATAAGTTCCCAACGGCTTCCATCTGCTTCACATACAAATCGGTAGTTGTTCTACGATGAACATTCCACACAATACCCCAATGACCGACTTACTAAATTACAAAACTCAAGCACACTAATAGTTGTTATATAAATTCTTCTTTGTATTTAAGTAATATAATATATATATATATATATATATATATATATATATATATATATATATATATATATATAAAAATAGTATATATTGGAACGTATTGCGAATATAATCCCCTTTTACTATCGCCGAAACTCCTGGTAAGGTCTCCTTCTCCTTGCTGCCAAGACACCTTTAGCTGTCAGAAACTCTCTTGTGAGTCTACTTGATTGGCATTGAGAGAACCCCATCACCTAAACCTGACATCCTGTCTCTGTCCGTCTGTTAGGTCTCATGGTGCGGACATCCCGCAATTATCCAATTTATTGATGTATTAAATATACATAAATGTGGTATGGTAGGACTAGGGTTTAATTATTAATTTCTTGGAGAGACCACGTACGAAACACCACCGTGCTACAAAGAATGGGGAAGGTCACAGAGATACTTACAACCATAAAGAGGAGGAAATTGGAATATTTTGGGCACGTGATGCGTAACACCAAAAAATATGAACTCCTTCAACTTATCATTCAGGGGAAAGTGGCAGGCAGAAGGAGGCCTGGCCGCAGAAGGATTTCGGTGGAAGAACTTGCGCCAGTGGTTCGGGAAGAGCACAAGATCACTAATTAGAGCAGCGGTCTCAAAAGTTGAAATGGCCCTAATGATTGCCAACCTTCGCAAGGAGACGGCACCTTAAGAAGATCTAGGGTATTAGGGATCGCTAGATACTGCTGGGTATAGGGATTAGCTAGGGTCTGTAGGTTCTAATACTCCATACCGTATTCACGTGTAGTCAGGTAGTCGAGCTATCGAAGGGGAATCGGGTTAATATTTAAACAAACAGCTACCTGTAGTTATTCGTATGTAAAATTAAATTAACTTTATACGTATTGTATTTTGTGAGGCGCCTTAATTATTTTTATGAATATTTCTTTATTAAACTTCCAGGGCGTAATAACTTATAATTAACGTCTTGTATGAACAGTTTATTTGGGTCATATGTAGGGCTGCCATCATCTAAATGGTCGATGTCGGACAATAACTTCAAACTTCCGGGATGTGTAACAAAACTGTTTATAACAAAAGTACAGTTTTCATTTCTATATTTTACTTATTAATTATAGTTTGTTGCTGTTTTATTTAACAATGCTTGACAAAATTGACATAATCTGCAACAAAACTAATGAAATGCTTAAATAATTGCGTCCTATTACTAACCATAATCAGTTACGCCCACAATATTCTTTTTATGAGGTAATTTGGCAACAAAAATAAGAACGCTCTTCTTTTGGCATCAATTTTAACATATCCAAACTGTTTAAGTTAGACATAGCGATCTGTGATCGATTAATCGAAGTATCGATTTTTTGTCCCAAAAAGATCGATTTTTTAAATCGATATAAAGTACTGAATCGATCCAGTTAATCGATATTTTACCTTTGAAAATCGAGATCAATTCTTTTTCTGTTTTTATAAGAACTATAAAAATATTTACTATTAGTTGAAAGTACCCAAACACATAATGATAGTGTTTCTATTAATTAAAAACTGGCAAAACTGCTGTGCTCAGTTTCTAAAAGAAAGTTACGTTTGTAATCTGTACTTTGTTGTATCTTTTGTTAATGCAAATATAAAGTCTGAAAGCAAATCGAAAAAAGATTGATTTTTGAGAAATATTTTAGACCACGATTTTTTTGTGAATCGGTTCATCAGATTTCGATTCGATCTGATTTAATTGATCTTTTTCGGAAAGAATCGCTATTTTAAGTTAAGTTTAGTTTAGTTTAGTAAGTTTAAGTTAGTTTAAATCCCTAATTTAAGTAGTCTGTTACTTGTTAAAGTATATTTTTGGTTCTCTAATATTCATATAAGATATCATTTACAAATTAATGTCTAAGTTTAGCTAGGCTAAGTAGGCTAGTGCCAAGTAAAAGCCGTGGTCTATACTTAGGTGCTGTGCGAACCGTGGCCTGTGTGTGGCTCTGTCAGAAATAACCATAGTCTACCTGAGAATAACTCAGAGGTTACGGACCATTTCTTATGACGTAACCTGGTGTAGTCTCCTTCTTTGGTATAATAGATGAAGTTCTTTGCGTCTATGTATTACCTCATTGGCATTTGGGGGCTTCCACTTCAAGGATGTCATTCTTCATGCAGAATGAGTGAAGGTTCCATGCTCGACAGTAAGGCATAAAAGTGGAAAGGATGCCTACCCCACCCGGAGCAGTAAACAGAACTGTCGAATTTGTCCTGTCAGACTGACACTAAACAGGTGACACCGCTCATTGACCTTCCAGCTGGTGCATGTGTTATCTGGGTATGGATGCTTTACCTGTAAAGTAAATACCTTCGTCGTAAAGCTGGAGTGCCAACAACCGAGTGCCACCCCTGTGACAGCGACGAGGACACTGTGCAACATACCCTCGGGAATTGCTTGACTTGGGCTGAGTTTACGTGTTAATTTCATGGCGTTGGGGACGATTTCCTGTTCCTAGTCTTTATTAAGACTATGGTTGAATGCAAGAGGCGTTGAGTGCCTTAGTATATCACGGAAGCAGCCTGCGAAGACATGAGATGTCCTTCTCTGTGGTCGGAGAGTTGGGCGCCGGAGGAGACCTTATCAGTCCATCTTTCACCTACCGAAATTGAGATTAAGTAGGTAAACAGTGGTATTGTCCATCGCCCTTAAGGTAAGCCTTCGAGATGTCTGTCGGTATTTTCATTAGTCCATGTGAAGAAGGGATCTAAAACTCTAGCTTCAATCCTTCCATCTCTTAGCGTGCCGGAGCCTGTGCTCAGTAGTATAGGCTACTATAGTTGTAGCTCCGGTATAGGGCGAAACGATGTACACAATGGGAGTTTATCTAGATTATCACACGTACAAAATAGGTTGCCTTAATATATGTTTATTTTTTCTTAGTTTAAACTAATTAATGAAACATGAACGTGAAAGGTAAAAGTTTGAAGTGTATTGATTATCAATTGGCTATTTGGATAAAATGTGAATTATTTTTAATAAATGATTATATTAAGTGACAAAGTGTGTCACTTTTAGTGAATCCCTTTTTTGGACGGCTCTTGGACGCCCTCTAATCTGGAAAAAACCTGGGTATGGTGAACCCCAACATCCTAGTGTAATCATAATATATGAATCTAAACCTTGGTCATATTTTTTGAACTTTTTATATTAATATAATATAAATATTAACTAACTCTCCGAAGCTTGAAAACTTACAGTGTAACTTTTCGTCTAGATTGCCTCGTGACGTCACTGATAACGCTCGTATAAACTCTTCGAACTCGATGGAACCGTCCTGAAAAAGAATTAATGGCGTTGCAAAATAACATTCGATCATACGCTTCATTAAATCGGTTATTTTCGTTTGGGTGGTTTTAAATTGATATATATTTTCTTTTTGAATCCACAACTTGTTTTTTCTAATACTAGGGTGGCAAATCTTATTCTTCTAATCGGAATACTGTGTCGGGCGTATTGTTGCTTGACAACAGAAAAAGGTGAAAGGCTGTTCCAAACCAAATAGACTCCGAGGCAGAAAGGAAGTTACTTCGCTTATTGGTAGTAGAAAAATTTCAAGCGTAAATAGGTTACGATTAAAAAAAATCAATTCGCCAGGCAAATTGAAAGTGATTTAAATTCTAGTTCTACTTGAATATCTAATTGCTTCATTTCACTTTAAGTGTCAACCCTTCAAGCTAAAATTTAACTTCTAAAAGCCGAAGGCTCGCCATTGATGTTATTGCCTAATGAATATTTAATGTTCCAGTTGCGATAAAATTCTTGTTAATTAAAAATACATGAAGAAAGCTTTTAATCATTTACGTCATTTAGAGTGTTTAACATTAGGTCTTTAAAAAATGTCATAAATGATGCTGTTTCTTATCCGGACATAGATCTCATTTTGAAACGGATAAAAATAATCCGTATGTATGTAATTACTCTAAGAAATAAATTGAAAAACATGTTGACGTTTGATAAATGAAATTGTAATTTATTCAATCGAAAGAGTTTTCTGTTGATTTTATTCATGTATTTTTCTCGAGAGCAGTATTATGTCATCAACAACATTACACTATCATCATTACATTTTAACGTAAAGCCAAATTTTAAGATGGCACTAGGAAACGTAAAATAGTTCTATCGATAGGACAATCCTCGCTAGAGCATCAGTTCATAACTATTATGAGGTCTTACTATGCAATATCAAAGTGTAAAGATAATTTAAAATACGGTACCTTTGTACCTTTTGTACAAAATATCAAGATACTGATAATATTTACGTTTAGGAATTTTGTCCCGAGATGATCTTTCAGCTACATCAGATAACTAATAGACCCTTTCTGCTGAATTTTGGAGTACAATAAAATTTTAAGACCATGCCAGTAATACTAGAGAATTGCTTCGTAAGGAGGCGATCTTTACTACAGCATCATGTCACCATTATATTCACATTTTCCTATCCAATTTGAATGAGAACACTGAAATGGTTAAGAAATTGGTTTAAAAAAAGTCGGGAATTTTAAGATATAAAAGTTTTTATTTTCAATAATTTTTTAACAACATATAAGGCCATACTGTCAGTAACTTCAGCTTTTTAATAACTATTTATGGTCCGATATATGCAGAATGAACTTACTGTCTTGATACCAATAAAGCAATGCAACGATAGAAGCCGATTCTGGGTTAAGCATTAGATAACGTATTTTTTTTATATCTACCCATATATAAATTTTTGTTCTATTTTTCTTATTTTAAGCCTTAGTAATTCGGGCATATAAGCAACCCCCTTTCTTAGTATGATCGTACATAATTCCAGTTCGATTCCCATCAGCACCAATGAAATTTACGTTGCTATTTTAAGCGTTAATTTAAGCGAGCTGATTGACAACTTCCTGAGGAAACCTGCATATTTAGGATATTAAAAAAATCGAGCACATGTAAAGCCCACCCAACTCGCATTGAAGCAGTGTAGTGGATTCTTCATGCTTACTTTAAAAATCCTCTTAGAAATGAGGGGTCTACAGCAGTTATGGGACAATAAAACTGCGTGTAAGTCCATCAAAGGCTTTCTTTTATTTACTACCGTCAAAGTAATAATGTACCCACTCTTAAAAATGGTGAGAGTTGAAAACTGGAGACCTTTGACAAGAAATGAGGCATTCAATCTTATTATTCAGGGGGTGACAATGCATTTGCATGGTGTTTTGGGTGATTGTATCCATTTACTATCGTATTGGTGGACAGTGTGCTCGTTTGACATTTTTATTTTTGTGAACAAATTTAATCTGTTGTGAAAAACGTTAAGTTGTTACTTACATTATTTTCGTCGAATACACGAAAAACCAGCGATGCAAATTTACTTGGATCTCCTTGGGGAAAGAACTGCTTGTAGATTTTTATGAAGCCCTGTAAGTTAATGAAAAATATGTAAACACTAAACAAGTCGAGTTTGCGTTTTATTCTAAAGTGCCTGCGTGCGTGTCCGCTTTATTTTGAATACGATTTATAGATACTAAAAGTTTCCTTAAAAACATAATAGGTAATAAATGATAAACTGGTGAAAAATGTTTTAAAGTTTCATTAAAAGCTATCTGTTTGAGGAGGGCTTACGAAGCCATCATATACAACGATACCTTCGTGGAACCGCCATATAACCTTTCAATAGATAGTGGATAACCACCTCAAATCTTCCTAATCATATTCTGACGTATTACAAGTCAGTTCCTGAACATCTCTCCGATCTCGAGTTATATGATGTATACATTGCCTTCATATCTAACTTACCAGATCTTCACTTCAAGAGAGTGGTTATTTTAACTATTAGTAATGGTGGTCAATTTCTACTACAGCTAATTGAAAGGGATATAGTTGGTTACTATCTATATAAATACTATCGTTTTGCTGTTGACCCCACCTTGAAGGATTATTTCAAAGAATCTTCAAAATTATATGTAATATTATATCAATATTATAAATTAGTGATTAGTTTGGATCGACCCACACGTACCACAACCACATCACATCGCAGCGACTAAATTTGGTTACGTGTGAATAGTGTCGCTGCATCTTTTTGCAGTTGCGTTGTGGTAATGCGACAAAATGTCGATTTGGTTGCGTTGTCGCTAGTGGCGGCCGTTAGTTCCGTGTGGTTCCGTAGTGGTCACGTCGTGGTTGCGTTGTAGTCAGTATCACCCAGGCAGTCGATAACAACGCCAAAATGTGGTACATGTGAGTTGTACCATTAATTTCCAATACAAAATGCGCCCGCCCCCTTGTTGTGGTTGTGGTAGTCGCGTGGTTGTGGTACGTGTGTGTAGACCCTTAATAACTACGGCGCGTCTGATATTAATGCGATTACGTAACTCTGATGGGAATCGGTTGCCGGTGGATATCACTTCGCAGCTGCGTTATGTTTTTTCATTGCGATAATATTTTGTAACCTAAAATGAGATATTAATTTTTTATTTAACTTTTATATTTTTTAATTAACTATATCAAAAGTTATATGTCGAAACGAAGTCCCCCAGAGTTCTATAATCACACTGTTGCTCCCGTGTAGTGGCGGTGTAAGAATATCCAATAACCCATTTCGTCCCGTGACTGTCATAAGAGGCGACAAAGGGAAATTGAAACAGGAGATGGGCAGTAGCATCTTCCTGATAACAACTCAACATAATTGAAAAAAAAATTTGGTTGCGTGTCTACTATGGCAAAATCTGAAATATTATGCAATCTATGAAGTGAAATAAAATAAAATGAAAAGAATTGAAATGAAATGAAAAAGGGGAGTATATATGTTCAGTAGTGGAATTTTATAGGCTGTAATGTATGGATGAATGGACTGTTGCTCATCAAGCGTAGAACAATCCACTTGCCAAGCGACCAAGAATTTCAAAACAAAACGTTCTGTGTAATATTATTCGTTTACACTGGTTGATGACGATGATGACTCAACTTTATTATCATCATATTTATTACAGCTCATTACAAGTTCCACTCTGAGTATAAGCTCCAAACATTGCACTAATGCACGGCCTTGAGTAGGGTTGCCACCTTTTTTTGAACAAATATAGTACCTATCCCAAAAAGGATGCAAAAATATAGTACTTTTGCGAAATTCTGGAAAAAAAACACTACATTTCATTTTTAATCTTTATGTCTGTATAGGTATTTTTACATATATATTTATGATTGCTCTCTGCTTTGACCAACAATAATTTAATCACCTTACCTTTTACCTTAATTTTAAAATAATTAGATCTTCTGAGTAATTTATATTCAAATAAAAAAAAAACTTGTAATTAAATTAATACATTCTCTTTTTCTTTCTTCTTTCAATTTTACATTCATTATAGAAAAAATTCTTTCCTTAAAACATACTTGTTCCAGATTTCAAATCACAGTTAATATAACAAAGCGATAGTTGAATTAAGGATAAAAATATAGTAATTTGTACTGTATTATTTTTCTATAATATATAGTAAAATTGACCGAAATATAGTACGATACAATATAGTATGGGTGGCAACCCCAGTCCTGAACCACATTCATTCATGTACAGGTTTCTTTTGATTATTACTTAATCAAGTTGGATGTTGGGAGAACACTACGCCTACAAGGGTTCCATTTAAAAATTTCTTCGACTTCACACTCGTATTTACAGTAATTGAACAATTAAATTCTTGAATTAGAAGGTTCTACACTCTTCCTTAGTATCACTATAGACTCTCGTTCAAAATGCAGACATGATATTGAAGCTTTGTCATGGAGACTTTGTTTCGACGTGTCAAGAAAATTAGGCTGTTAACTGATACAGATTCAGTAAGGTTAGTTTAATCTAACTATATTTATATTGTAATGCCTTATTTTTATGAGGATCGCCAGCTGATAATTCTTAATATTTTAAAGAATAGAGCCATTCGTGCCTTATACAAGATCAGACCAAAGGGACTCACTCAGAGATAAAAATTAAATATCTTAACTGAAACTTATATTGTTGTTGTTTACAGTTCATACTGGATAATATTATTTATTTTATAACACATCTTAAAATTTATTATTAATAAACATTGATAAAATAAGTGATGCCTATAATATTTGACTTCCAAAAAGGTGTTTTGTAAAAGCCAATTTTCAATAAAATATTTAATCCTTGATTTTGCTCTTTCGTTGAGCTACGTCTGTTACTCATATCTTTCTGAGCATATCCTCATTACCTACATTATCAGTCGTTCGCAGAGTTACTGTGAGCCTGTTAATACGACGAGCTGTGAAGAATCATGTATAAGTTTCGTGAGTTTTCACTTGCAACATGCATTTGTACATTTTGTGTTAAGATTTTAGGTATAGCAGACATCAAGATTTGTCACAATTTCCCAAAACGTAATAGTAAATAGATAAATAGTGCTAAGAGTAGTAGGAGTAGTAATAATGGACGTAGTAGTAGTAGTAGTAGTAGTAGTAGTAGTAGTAGTTGTAGTAGTAGTGATAGTGAACGTAGTAGTAGTAGTAGTAGTAGTAGTAGTAGTAGTAGTAGTAGTAGTAGTAGTAGTAGTAGTAGTAGTATTAGTAGTAGTAAAAGAGGAGTTAGTGGTGGTGGTGGTGGTGGTGGTGGTGGACGTAGTAGTAGTAGTGGACGTAGTAGTAGTAGTAGTAGTAGTAGTAGTAGTAGTAGTAGTAGTAGTAGTAGTAGTAGCAGAGCAGCAGCAGCAGTAGTATGTGTAGTAGTAGTAAGAGTAGTAGTAGTAGTAGTAGTAGCAGCAGCAGCGGTTGTATGGAGTACATTAAAAAAGTAGTAGTACCAGTAGTAGTAGTATTAGTATGTGTATCCACAACAAAGTGTGCAAGTCGAATGCAACTCAAGCTGGGCTGCTTTGGGGAAATTGTAACCGAACTTGGGAGAGAGCTGTTACCTGCGTGGCTATTATAGTCTGATAAATTAAAGAAAGAATTAGTTGTATTTTACCTGCTCCGTCAGGAGTCCGTTCGGACAGTCTTTGAGAAATCCTTTATGCCTGAAATGTAAAGAAGAAGGTACCTACGTAAGTGAATTCTTAAGGTATATTACATACTGATTAATTAATTGTATCATGAAAAGTCATGCTTACCAGAGACGTATTTCCTTTTCTGTGACTGTAACAAAAGAAAAACAGTATTAGTTTTTTTGATTTCAGAAACCTAAACCTAGAAATTTAAATGTGGCCTTGGAAGTCCAATAACAGTTTATTGTAATTTCAAAAGAAGAAAGAAAAACAGCAAACTCGAAAGGCGTTTTTGTACATTGAAGTAGCAACCAGGGCTTATTTGTCTCGGCAGACCGCGAAGTCTCACGAAGTGGAGACCACGCTCATGTAAATGGAATGTGGGACGATCACTAGCTATATAATATTTTGACTTATGGCAGACTGGTTGATATTAGTAGAGCTACAAGCTTATTGATTAATTATTTGATGACAGATAAATTAATTAATATATTTTTCAAATTTACCGTGTAATGGCGGCGTAAAAACTACCCCATATCGTCCTGTTGTAAGGGGTGATAGAGCCAAAATCAAACAGAAGATGGGTAGACGAATCTTTCGAAATAAAACAAAATAAAACTTCGGTTACCAACTTGTGACGGCCCAATATTATTATTAATAATTAAATAATATAAAGGGGCGTCAAAAATAGTCTTAAAAGATATATATTAAACAATAAAATTAAATTAATAACCATAAAGTTAATATAAATACATTTCAGACATTAGACCAATAACATAGTAAATTAAAGGCAAAATATTGTCTTCCATAATAAATAAATTTATTAAAAAAACTTGAAAAAATATTTAAAATAAGATAATTAATAGAAATACAAGTCGAAAATATTATAAAAATAAAGATAAATAACATTTATAAGATAATTAGAAAATTTGTTGAAAATTGTCTAAGTCGTGGAAGGAGTTCATGTATAAAAGAAAATTTTCCTAAGTTGTTGAAGGAGTTCGTGTATAAAAGAAATTTCCTAAGTTGGAAGGAGTTCACGTATAAAAAAAAGTTTCCTAAGTTATGGAAGGTGTTCATGTATAGATGTCTTGTATAGAGGAGCTGCCGGAGATACATACCTGCAGTTGTACATATATATGGGGTGGTCGGGAGCCCGACTGCCTGAAGTACTGTAGCACAATGACTAGTCCTATATTAGGGACTTATGATAATAAACTCAATGATACAAAAACAATACTATAGAAGGTCTCTATGATGAATATGCATTACAATAGTAGGGTCGTGGGTTCGAACCCTATATATTAATGACTTATGAAAGTAAGGTCTATGATACAAAAGCAATACTATAGAAGGTCTCTATGATTAATATGCATTACAATAGTAGGGTAGTGGGTTCGCATCCTATATATGAATGACTTATGAAAGTAAGGTCTATGATACAAAAGCAATACTATAGAAGGTCTCCATGATGAATTTGCATTACAATAGTAGGGTTGTGGGTTCGAACCCTATATATGAATGACTTATGGAAGTAAGGTCTATGTTTACAAAAGCATTATTATTGAAGGTCGCCTTGATGCATAAGCATCGTATGGGGTGGTCGGGTGACCGACTGCTCCTAGTACTGTAGCAAAATGACTAGTCCTTATTAGGGACTTGAAAAGGAATATTGTGGTGGCGTGTATGCTGCTTCACGAGCAATTGGTTCGAGGTAAACTTGGACTCGCTAACCGATGTGTCCTAGACATATCATCTTAGTGCTGGTGGTAAGCGGGTTTGTTGTAGCGATACGGCTTTCCCGTGGACATCGCACACCCATACCGTTTGTGGGCGACGTCGTAGCGCATAGCGATGCGTCGTCTATAGTTCGGATTGGGATGAGTGTGTTTGGTAGCACTTTTAAGTGTAACAGGCATACTCAACTTCATGTCTTAGTGCATTAGCGCTATGATACGTGGAGTTCTGTTCATTGGCGTCTTAGTAGCGTGCTACTATGATACGTTGGTGATATTTTTTTATATAACAACAATAAAAACTTTGTTACCAAAATTGATAGGGATCATGTGGGTGTGTTGTGAGGGGGGCGCCATCCGTATGATAGTTGCATTGATGCTTACTGCTACTTGCGGTATTGCGTCTTGTGATGGATCTGCGGGTGTGCTGCGCCTGATTCGACGCATTCCTGTGGTTCTGGTCGATGGAGGTATACAATTAACATCTTAGTGTCGGTGGTAAGCGGGTTTGTTGTAGCGATAAGGCTTTCCCGTGGACATCGCACACCCATACCGTTTGTGGGCGACGTCGTAGCGCATAGCGATGCGTCGTCTATCTCTCGGATTGGGATGATGAGTGTGTTTGGTAGCACTTTTAAGTGTAACAGGCATACTCAACTTCATGTCTTAGTGCATTAGCGCTATGATACGTGGAGTTCTGTTCATTGGCGTCTTAGTAGCGTGCTACTATGATACGTTGGTGATATTTTTTATATAACAACAATAAAAACTTTGTTACCAAAATTGATAGCGGTCATGTGGGTGTGTTGTGAGGGGGCGCCATCCGTATGATAGTTGCATTGATGCTTACTGCTACTTGCGGTATTGCGCCTTGTGATGGATCTGCGGGTGTGCTGCGCCTGATTTGACGCATCCTTCCTTTCGACCAGAACAACATTCCTGTGGCTCTGGTCGATGGAAGTATGCGGGTGGTGATGTCTGCTGGGATGTATGGGGGACCTTGGGATGGTGTAAGCCCGACGATAGTCGTATTGATGCTTGTTGCGTTCTGCAGCGTTGCGTCTTTGCGATGGTTGTTTGGTGGGACGCTATTCTCAATGGCGCTCTCTGCGTCTTGGTTTGACTCACACCTGAGTAGCTTTGCCCAAGTCGGGTCCCTTCATTACGGGGCTGCAGACTGTCTGCCCTCCACGATGTTTTATATAACAACATAATATTATATCTCTGTAACTTTCCCACCTTTGAATGATTGAAGTCCACTTGTTGGTGGGTGAGAAAAACATGATCGAAAATACATATACTCAACGTCAGTGACACAAACCCTTTCTGATGGCGAATTATTACTCTTATCTTATTAACTGCCTTTTGGCTATATCTGCCGTTGTATTGGTTGATGGAGCATATGTGTCGACCTCATGCGGGTGGTAGCTGGCGGGAGGATCTGAGGAGACTCTCAAGGCTGCGGCCGAAAGCCGCACAACGTGGGACCCCATTCCCTTGAGGTGAGCGGTAGACTCATGACACGCTCTGCGGCTAGTAGCCGTGCTAATCATGCAATTGGTGGTGATGCCATACACTTACATCACGTCTGCAGGAGCGGCGGTCTGGCAGGTGGTGGCGCTCACGGAGGGTTTACGGCCAGTGTGCCTATTTGCCTAAACCGTGTGATGTACATTCACTGTGGCTGGATTCGTTCGTATTCTGTATGGCGTTTACACGCATTGACATGCGCGATTTCGGTCGATGTTTGTGCTTACGCACTAACAAGGGGCCAAGCCTTTTTTACTGGTTCGCCAGTTATTTTGCTGTGGACTACGGTCCAGTTCCCGAATTAGCGTTCCCTCCAGGGGGAGTGCATCAAAATGGTTGGCACTCACCGTGCACGGCGTGTACCGTGGGGCCGTGTACCTCCCCTACATTTTTTTAAATAATTGTAGGAGAGCGAAGCCCTTGTATCGGGTATTTTGTATAAATATATTTTGAGCCTTTTCCGAGCGGGAAGGGATAAATGATAATAAATTAATAATGTAAACCTGATACAAATGGAATAGGGATGTTTTATGTTCTTAACCTTTTTTGAGCCCTGTCTTCGTGAACGGGGTTCACTTAGCTTATAAGGCACTACCAACAGCTTTCAATTGCTCTAGTGAATATTCATTCTTCCAAAAGACACCTAAAAGAACTAAGTTACTAAACAAACACAACGTAAATAAGGGTCCTAACTAAGACGATCACGCCAAAAATATTACAAACGGCCTATTATTAAACCATTAGAAAGATCATTTAGAAAGATCTAAACAAAACGTATTTATCTTGTTCACATATATATAATTTTTATTATAAAGGTGAATTAATAATATTTAATATAATATTTTTTATTACAATGAGAGGGGGGGATAATCGTTACCAACTCAAGCAAGTTGGCCAAGCGTGATATGAGGAATCCTATGGGGGAAACCCTATGAGGATTTTTACGAGGAGGCCTATGTACAACATATAGCTGAGAACATATGGACTTCTTTTATAGATTTCTCTCCTAGTGGATAGTTCTGGGTGTTTTATTTTATATTATGTTTTTTACCCACGTCCCGGGTGGAAGATTTATAAAATCTTGGTATGTATGTTACGTATATTTGTCTGTTTAATAAAACAGTTTCCCTGTCCGCAAAAAGACACAATAGTTCAATTAAGATTAATAATAATAATCATGTTGACTCGCCGGAGCGTAAAATAGTAAACAGTGTTAACTTAACACCCTGTAACCTAAGCAGTTTGATGTATTTAGAAGTGCAAGGTGTAGTTGGACTCCACTACGTCGGAGTGTGAAGTAGGAATAACACGACGTACGCGAAATTTAAAATATAATTTGAGTTAGTCGTTGTATGGATCGCATTCAGAGTGGCAGTTTTATAGTTCCGGTGTCATACTAGAAACATGTATAATCCTTTTCTACGTCAATTTACCCTAAAATTACTTCTAAGTTGTTTTTAATGTTGACCGAAGCGGATATATATCCGTTTCGGTCAACATTGATCGATATAATTTAAGATAAGACAATATTCATATTTACTTATTTTTTTTTAGTATTTATGTGTAAAAATAGTAAAATTTCAGCCTATCTACATCCAAATGTCTCATTTCACACACTCTCATTTCTAAGAGAGAAGTGGACTTTAAAGATACTTACTTACTTACTAAATAATTAGGCAGGTGCAATTCGTCGTCCTGATCCAGTTTTCATATGTCCTCTACATATTTTATTTCTTTAACGTTTTTTTTTTGTAGAATAGAGTGACAAACAAGCACACAGTTCACCTGATGGCAAGTAGAAGCTGTGGACCATATACATCTACATTTATTATGGATTAGGAATCAAAATGCAGATGAGTTGTCACCCCTAAAGATTAAGATCGAATGCCTCGTTTCTAGAAAAATAGATCTCCGTTTTTCTACACTCGTCGAACAAATCACAGCAGCATTAAGCTGCTATTTAACGGTAGTATTCTGAGAGAACGTGGTCCTACTCTGACTCATTCGTGCTACAACTATATTGGTGTATCGTGACTCTAACACGTCAAGTCATGTATGTTTACTCACCACGTACTTTGTTAATGAGCTTGTGTAAAAACAGCATTTAGAATTTTATTTTCTATAACAATTTCATCTTTGCCCGTGGGGATCGAACTCGGGTTGTTCGCTTACAGTGGTAGTTATAACGTGCGCCCAGAGACTGTTACCACAGCTCTTCTAATTACATGTTTGTTAACACAGAAGTTTTAATATGTTTCTCGTCTTATCATATTGTGGAGGATACTTATTACGTTGAATTACATTACGAAGTACCATAAACCACCTTTAACAATTAAGCTTAGTTGATTTAAAGTTTTCACATTATTCTACTTACCTCCCTTCCATTAGATTTTTTATAAGAAAACTAAAAAACGGTAACTAAGTACCAGATTACATAATAAACGCTGTAAGCATTTAAACTTAGTAATGTATGATATATAAAAGATGCGTCATTAATTTCGAGATCTGAACAGTGGTTTATATAAAACAATGTTGGTTTTTTACTCCGTAGAGTTTTCTTTTGAATCGTGAAGAAGTTTTGCATGCATAAATTGAACTTGAAACATCTTATGTATGGTAGAGCTATGCCGCAGCTATATTAATTGCTGCGAATGGTTCGGCTCGACCGAGGAAGGACCACGCTCTCACGGAATACGGGCGTAAAATAGTCGAATAATGCTACTGTGTTTCATTTGGTGAGTATATCTGGAGGCCCTTTTTACTGGAAAAGAGGCATTCCATCTTAGTCCTCACGGCTGACAACACATCTGCATTTTGAATGGGTTGGCTCGACCGGGAAAGGACCACGCTCTCACGGAATACGGGCGTAAAATAGTCGAATAATGCTACTGTGTTTCATTTGGTGAGTATATCTGGAGGCCCTTTTTACTGGAAAAGAAGCATTCCATCTTAGTCCTTACGGCTGACAACACATCTGCATTTTGGTTCGCAAACGAAGATGAATGTAGATGTCTATGGGCCGCAGCAACCACTTGCCATCAGGTAGACTGTGTGCTAGCTTTATCACCCTTATACTATAAAAAATCCAGACATGAAATAATTGTTTGTAAAGCGTACGAGCGTCTGTACTGTATTGCCGCAACCAAGCGTTTAGCTACTGTGCTACCAAGCTCCCCCCCCCCCCCCCCCGAATATTTAGATTTAGATTTTTTAACAATAATTCACTTCTTCGTTGAACGTTTTTTCACGTATGTTTTAGTTATTTCCGGTTACTATTTATTACGATATTAAAGTAGGAATAAGAAAGCAGCCATTTTGGCGGTATGTGGAACACACAACCTATAGTAGCCTATAGACACCTGCAAACTAATTCAAACAAAGGAGGGCATCGTTTCAAAAAGGAAGAACGCGGTAGAACCATACTTCAGCTTATGACTTATGGTTGTAGCATAAAAAGATCTTCTCGACCGGGGTAGAATCACGCTCTCACAGAATACCAGCGTAAAATAGCAGTCTAATGCTACTGTGGTTCAAGTGATGGGTGTAGAGAACAGTGGACCCTTTTCACTAGAAACAAGGCGTTCCATCTTTGTTCTCAGATGCATCTTCATTCTTAATCGAAGATAGATGCAGATGTCTATGAGACACAGTTTTCATTCACCATTAGGCGGGCTGTGTGCTCCTTTGTTACCCTTCTTCTATAAAATAAGAGCGTTACGATACGTCGTCACCATTGAGGTTCCACCACTCATCATAATGATGAAATGCCACACAGCTTGTTATTATACTAGCTGCCTTGTGAATAACAAATCTATTATATTCTTGATTAAGACAAATCCGTATATTTTCATTATCCTTCACGGAATTGATTCGTGTAGGAGCATTACTTATTTATGTCTTTGTTTATGTGGATATAGAATATTTCACTTTCATACCCCTCATTATCGTTATTCTATTAATATGATTATTTTTGTCGGCGTATTAGAGTAATTAAATAATAAATTCAAAGTAGTAACTTACTAGATTGATGATCTGATCATTTGAATTAAACGACGCAGCTTTATAAAACATATTAGTAAAGGTAACAGAGCAGAGGCCCATCAGATTGTAGGAGGATATAAAATGCAGATATTAAATCGTATTGAAGCACCTAACACACTTGCAACGTGGTTCTTTCAAAGTAAATATTTGTAATGCTTATAATAGTATATACGTAGGACTTACTGCTAAAAGAAATTCTCTTCTAATCAACTCTCTTCTAATTTCTTTGTACCGTGGTATATGTCATACAATAAGCGTGTATGGAATGTGAAACTATATTATATATTGTTTGACATTGCAAAACAGAGGAAAAGAAAAACGGAAAGAAAATTACAATGTTTATGTGTCAATCAATGTATAAGTGTTTTTAATACTGTGATAATTATTGTGTTGGTCTTATCTATTTTAAAATGTAATTACGACAGAAAGAATAAAGAATTCAATATACATTTTACTGTTCGAAAAGGGAATTTTTTAAATAATTTTACCTTAAAATAAGAAACATATAAACATAAAAGTTCCAATGCTTACATTTATTAATGACTTTTTAAAGCCGTTTTAGCGAATAATATAATATTTTATGGCAGTAAGTTCATGGTAAAAGAATATAAAATAAAAAGGCTAAAGCTCTAGCAGACAATCTGTTGCCATTTTTAGGCGGCAAGTCAAGTTTTTATCTATGGATAAAAAATCTACAGAAAAACTATATGTTCACGATTCACGCAAAAACTACTAGACTGGTTTACATGAAAGTTGGTGTGTAGGCAGTAAATGATGGCGTATAACCACAGAATAAATAATAGTGGTATAACATATAGGCAACTTTTTATCCACTTACGGAAGAGTTAAAAAAAGTCATGTTTTTCTTTTTTTTCTAAGTTTATTGTCGTAATGGTTGTTGTAGTTCTATTAGTCATGAAGCGGATTTAGCTATACGTATTACGTACTTTAAGTCTATAAAGAACTTACCAGAAAAGACAGAATAAGGACTGCCGGGCCAGCTAGTAAACAATAAATAAACTTAAATTATGTCACGATGATCAAAATATAACGTTGGACAAATTTCTTTAATCGAATTAGCAATTCACGCTTTCTCATATTGCCAAATCAATCTCCGTTTCGTTTATATTGCTGCTTATCATAATTCAAATGTTACGTAGGTATTCTATATTTTAATGAAGTTGACAAAATTATAAATTTAAATGACTTTAGTAACTTTAGGGCTGGAAATTGTTTGCATAAAAAGTTAGCGGGCCCTTTTAGTGGCTTTTTGTGCTTGTTTATCAAGTGTCAGGTAGTTGGTACAATGTTTTTTACATTTCAAAACTTAAGGGTTTTAAGCGTTACATTATAAGGTTACAAGACAGAGTAATAATTTTCGTGTAAATATTCTTTATGTACGTTTTACTTCTGAATTGAAGCGCAAGTGAATGTTAAATTATTGAAAATGTAATGTATTTTTTTGTTAAATGTAATTTCATGAAATTTTAATCTGTATTCCACCTAGTTTAAATCATAGTTACAAACCCATGCCGTTACTTAAAAGCCCGCTGGATCTCATCACTATATACGATACCTTAATTTTACCGGAAGCGCGCACGGTTTCGGAATGCGTGTTTTATGCAGAATATATTAATTTCGAGCCCATAATATGGCTTATGTGGAAAGTATACATACCTATATATTTCTTTCCAAAGATGGTGCTAATTTCATTTCGATGGTAACACTCCTATATGCACAGTGTCTAATATGTCTGCTCTGTCGGTCCGTATTTCTTATGTTTTTAAATATTAGATAATATAGTTTTAAAAGTTTATAATTATTTAAATAAGTTTTAAAAACCCCAAATAAGATGCTGGTGATTGTGTTTTACAAATATCATGTAACATAATATTGTTGTGATTTATACGATTCTGATTTTCAAAAATTGTTTCAGATTTTAATATTAACGATTCTGGCTGGTGGGACTCAGGCGGGATATCTATATCAAAAACCAACTATACCATTTGAACTGCCAGCAAGAGAGAGGGTAAATGTACTGAATCAAAAAACTGCCAATGAGATTACATTTCAATCACACGGAAGTGCGGTGTCTTATTCTGTGCCTTTTGAAGACTATCATTACCTAAAACATCACAAAGCGGAATATCACAACTCCCCATACAACGATCCCCACGCTACCCACGATTCTACGGTATTACAGAAAATAGTTCAACAATCAAAAAATGCTTACGCAAAACCTAATGAAGTGATACGTCAACCAGTATTAATTCCCAACCAAAATGTTAACAATGAAGACAATATCGCCATAGTGCAGAATGTAATTCAACAATCAGAAAATGTTTTCGCAAAACCCAATGTAGTTCTACGTGAACCAGAATTAATTTCTAATCAAAATGTTCACAATAAAGGCAATGTCGCTATAGTACAGAATGTAATTCAACAATCAGAAAATTCTCTCGTAAAACCTGATGTAGTGCCAAGTGAACCAATTTTAAGTTCCAACCAAAATATCAACAATGAAGACAATGTCGTAATAGTACACAATCTAATTCGAGAATTAGAAAATGCTTTCGCAAAACCTGATATAGTGCCAAGGGAACCAGTTTCAATTCCCAATCAAAACGTTAACACTGAAGACAATGTCGCAATAGTACAAAATGTAATTCAAGAATTAGAAAGTGGTTTCGCTAAACCTGATGAAGTGCCAAGTGACCCAACATTAATAAGTAACCAAAATATTAACCATGACGGTAATGTCGCTATAGTACAAAATGTAATTCAACAAAGTGAATCAAGTTTCGCTACAAATGCTCCTATTAACAATCAGTTACTTAATTTTCCCGACAACCGTGCAATAATACAGAACACAGTTCAGTCAGAAGCCACTTATTTTCAGCCAGATGTACGGGATAATGTTGAACCAATCGTTACTAAGGATATTTATTTTCACGTTCCACCACCCGATATTGAAGAAATACCCGTGTACCGACCTCCTGTACCTCCGAAAAAGATCTATAAGATAATATTCATTAAAGTACCTAATCAAGAATCTGCGAATACAATACAACTACGGCAAGCATTTTACAATCGAATAGCTCCCGTCGAAGACAAAACCTTAATATATGTCCTAGTTAAAAGGCCTGAACCTGTACAAGTTTTACCTTTACCACCAAAACCAGTACCCTCTGAACATGAAGTGTTCTTTGTGAATTATAGAGCCCAGAAGATAAGTGCTCCTTTACCTGAACACGGTAATTTATTACAAGAAAATACTGATTTGAACGTGGGACCAATTTTACAACCAGGATTAGTAAATGGCAAGCGTTAAGGTATATCATATTCAAATATTCGATTTATCTTTTCTGTTTTGTTTTTGTTTTACTAAATATATAACTTTATTATATGTTGTGAGTTAATACTTGATGCCTTTATAATGTTTAATATTGAACTGTGTTTGCCGTGCGAAATGCTGAAGCCTAATAATTATTTATTAATAATGAATACTAGCAATAGTCAAAGAAAGAAAGAAATAGTCAAAGTTTATACGTGGTAGAGCCATGCTTCAGTTATATTAGTAGTATAGTTGTAGCACGAATGGGTCGGCTCGACCGGGGAAGGACCACGCTCTCATAGAATACCAGCGTAAAATAGTAGCTTAACGCTGCTGTGTTTCGTATGATGAGTGTAGAGAACCGGAGACCCTTTTTACTGGAAACGAGGCATTTCATCTTAGTTTTCACGGGTGACAACGCATCTGCATTTTGATTCGTCGGCCACTTACCATCAGGTGGACTGTGTGCTCGTTTGTCGCCCTATCCTATATAAAAAAGAAGTTTATGTACCAGTAAGTAGGTTATAAAGGTTTTTGTGTCTTTTTGTTTCAGTTAGTAAATAAATTAATTGAAACAATGCTATGAGTTAATAATCTCTGTAACATTTCTTCTTGATTCTTATAAAACGGCGATATTTTTAGTCTATGTTTTAAACGTGTAGACTTGTCAAGTTGTTTTTGTTTTGTTGATTTCTATTATTATTATCACTTTAAACAATAATTTCATTGCTGAACAACTAATCCTATAGATGACTATAAAGTTCGGACCTGGGCTGCCTGCGTCCATCCATAGCGGTAGGTCACCTCTCAAAGCGTTATATAGTACGAGGCTGCCACTCAAGAACCTTTCTTTCTCACCAGTTGTTGGTTCTTTGAGCTATACGGCTGGTCCATTGCCACTTCAACTTACTGATAGGCTGGGCTATGTTAGTTACTCCTGTTCTTCTGCCGATATCCTCATAAAAGGTTTTTTACTACAGAGAAATTCTGAGCATAACTTTTCCATAGCACGGCTTCGTTGATATCGTTGTATTAATGTAATTATCGTAAAAAATAAATAAAAAGGTGTCCTAATTTAATATTTATGACCCGTTTAATGTGCAATAGTAAAGTGAAAATTATATTAGATGTCACGTCGTTTGTCTGCGATGGACTCCTAAACTACATAACCGATTTTAATCAAATTTGCACACCGTGTGCAGTTTGGTCCATCTTGAGAGATAGGATAGTTTTTTTGGCCACAATTTTTTTTTGCGAATTTAAAGATTTTTAATAGGACATGACCAATTGTAGTCGAAAAGAGCAGAACAACGTATGCCTAGCAAGCTAGTATATATATTTAAACTACACAATATTTATGTGTCATTAAATTTAAAGACTACAGTGACCGTACAGTGGTGGTGTAAGAATTTCCACTACCATATTTTATTTAAAAGAATAAGAGTCATAAACGAGCACACGATCCACCTGATGACAAGTGGACGCTGTGTCCCATAGACATCTACATTTAACCTCGGTTAGGAATCAAAATGCAGATGTCATTCCTGAGGAATAAGATGGAATACCTCGATTCCAGTAAAACGGGTCTCCGCTTCTCACTATACGAAACACAGCAGCATCAAGCTGCTATTTTACGCTGATATACCATGAGGCCGTGGTCCCTTTCGTGCTACAACCATAATATAGCTGCAGCGTGGCTCTACCACGTATATCGTCCCGTGAGTGTTGTAAAAGGTGTCAAAAAGAAACGAACCAGGAGAGGGGTAGCAGCACCTCCCTAATAACAACCAGAAAATAAAAAACTGCAAAAAAAAAAACTGTTGCAACCCGTCTGCTAAGTATGCCAAGTATCTTCTTTATGCGAAGGCCCATGTGCAGCGGTGGACTTTCATAGGTATAAGTAAAAATGTTCAAAATTAAAATTATTATGTTTTATTGTGTCCATTTTTTAAAAATCGTAAACGCGAAGCGAATTTGAAAATTTACTGACTCTTAGTGTTACCGTTACAATCGTTACGGTCGATTAAGATGTTTTTATTATAGTTAATATTAACATTAGATAAAAATTACATAATTTAACGGGATGAACATACATCATCATCATCATCATTATTACAGCCCTTCACAAGCCCACTGCTGAACTTAGGCCTCCCCCAATGTATGCCACAAAGCGTGGTCGTGAGCCACCTGCATCCATCGACTTCCTGCATGTCTTACCAGGTCGTCACTCCATTTAGTGGGGGGTCGCCCTACACTTCGCCTACCAGTACGCGGCTGCCACTCGAGAATCTTTTTTCCCCAATGGTTGTCGGTTTTCGAGCTATATGGCCGGCCCATTGCCACTTCAGCTTACTAATCCGTTGGGCTATGTCGGTTACTCTGGTTCTACTGCGGATATCCTCATTTCTAAGTTTATCACGCAGAGAAACCCCGAGCACAGCCCTCGCCATAGCTCGCTGAGCAACTTTAAGCATCCTCATACGGCCAGTAATGAAGGACCACGTCTCGGTTCCGTAGGTCATCACCGGCAACACGCACTGGTTGCACAATATCCCCCCATGAATGTACATAGTAAGATTTAATTAATATACTGCAATAGCTAACAGATGCTTTAAAATGGAATTATAAGGCAGCATATTATTAAGTTCTTAATAATTTCTAAACTATATTGCGTCGTAAAAAATTATATAACTATCAGTGTTGTATAATCAGTGAAATTTTTATGCCTAATCCAATAGGTAAAACCAAATTATATATTTCACACGCGGCCGCATAAATAAATGAAATTGAGCTTTTGCGTGTTCCCATTAATTTCAATTTTATAAATCCTACTTGATCAGAGTTCAGTGGCATTAAGGGAATATAGTAAGTCAGCTCAAATTCTAATTTCGCCCCACTTCCCCGCGCATCGTATGCTATGTACCGACATGTTTGTAATCACTAATACTGTAAGTAGATAGGTCGTTAGATACATATTTAATTAGATTTATCATATTTATGCCTGTTTCTTTACGCCAACCCAGTCGCTTCTTATTTTTATTACGGTTATTTCCCATTTTAATTTTATGTCGTCCTGTTGCGTAATGTGTACTCTGATCGTAAGTGACACCACTTCTCCATTCAAAACTGAAGCGATACCAACCGGGCGGCAGGAAACAAGCTTCAAGGCGCCGATAGTTTAGGTAATTTCTTTTTACAGTGAAAATAATGGTATTTTTAAAAAATAACATAAGCCCTGCTTTATAGTTAGTTCAGTTAGTATGCAAAGTTTCGTGATCTAATTTAAAGTATTTTATGAATAACAGCAGTTTATTGTTCAGTTTGGAGGTAACTTTGGATTTTTTTTTCATCGAGATAATTTTACGGAATCGTGTTTTCGTCTAACATAGTACTTAACATTAATCCTTAAGTTTATCATATATTTATTTAAAAATTAATGCTGCAATATTTTCGGCATAATGGAGGATCTTGCGAAGCCATTTGAGATAGTGTTTTTAATATTTACCCTTAATAAATCATTTATAAAATTTGGAGAATTCCCATTCCATCCAATATATAAACACTAGAGGACGATTTTGATTCGAATTGGGCTCAGCAACGCAGTCAAGAAATATAATTAATTATATTTTGTTTTATTTGAACATAGTATATAAGTATTTTACCTTTGCTTTCCAAAGTTTTGGAATAAAGATTTTGAACATGTGCAGTAACATTTTTATCGCGGTAGAGCCATTTCGCAACTACACTCTGGTTGCATCACGAATGGCTCGCATCGATCGGGGAAGGAACACTCACAACACAACACACAATACCAGCGTAAAATAGCACCTTATTGCTGATGTGTTTTGTATGGTGAGTGTAGAGAATCGGAGGCGCTTTTTGCTGTAAGAGGCATTGTATCTTAAGCAAGGTTTAGACGAAGCCAGTAACGCTGGCGCCAATCCTCAGACAAGCCAGCGCTGGCCTGGCCCGTGTTGTTTAGATGAGGCGAAATGGATTCATTTCATTCGTAGATTATTTTTGTAAATCGTTGTATTAAATTAATGATTTTTTAAACTTGAACTGAAAAATAATGTTTATCATATACATACATCAAATATAAGAATGTGTACAATATTAGGTACTAGTAAAATTTTTATATTATAAATTATTTATTCTCGCGCGGGGCTTGCGGGGCACGCGGGCAGCCGTCACTGGCTTGAAAAATAGGCAAGCGCCTTTATTTTCGCCAGTGCTGGCAGCCAGCGCTGGCTTGTTTAAAAAACTGTTCATACGAGGCCAATAACAATCTAGCGCTGGGTGCCAGTCAAACTGGCAGCCAACACTGGCTTTATCTAAACCTTGCTTTAGTCCTCGGAGGTGACGATGCAACTATATTCCTTAATTGAAGATAGACGTAGGCTATATGTCACAGCTTCTACGTACCATTAGGTGGCCAGGCTTGTGTACGCGTTTTTGTTACCCATATATTTATTTATTTGTGATTTTTTGGGGGCTAATATTTATATATACATTTACGTGAGTGTGTACTCTAAGACGTATCCTGTCGGTTCTATAGTGAATAAATTAAAGTTTATGCGAAACGTACACGTGTCAATCCAAATCACAAAAGAGGTAAAATTTCACCAAATGAAGTCATCGCAGATATAAATTCTTATTTTTTTTTTATAGAATAGGGGGCAAACGAGCATGTGGCTCACCTGATGTTAAGTGACTACCGCCGGCCATGATCAACCGTCTTATATGTTATACTTTTTTTTAATTCGTACTAGGTGTAATGTGAAGATTGTAACGCGAATCATAATAATTTACTACATAAAAATCATGAAGATGACACCAAAATTGCTTTTTAAATTTGTGAATTGCAGTGTGAATATCGAACAGGCTTGGGAACATAAAAGTAAAGTTACAGCCTATATACGTCCCACTGTTGGGCACAGGCCTCCCTTCGTTTCTGAGAGGGTTTTAGGGCAAGGAAGTGTCCGCCGCGCTGCCCC